GAAAAAGTTTGGCAATGACATGGATTATCATTTGTGTCCTCGTGCCAAGATCTTTGCAAGAGAACAAGGAAAGATAACAAGTGACTGGAAATCGTTTGGAGCCATGCTACAGTTCAATGAATGGCAAACCGATCCTTTCAGTGAAGGAGATCCTGGAAAATCCATTGCTGCTCGTTACGATTTGAGAACACCACAGAGTGGATTGAAACCATCTGCATTTGGGGGTGCTGATTCCAAGCTTACAAGTTTTTCAAATGTGATTAACCATCCAAAACCTGTCACGTTCGGTATTGCTGGCCCAACACACCAAAATCAACCTGCATTTACATGGAAAGATCCAAGATGGAGCTCAATTCCTCACTTGGGTCAACCAGAGACCTATAATTTTGGTTGGGTTGAATTGAGTTCAAAAGATGATTTTGCTCGAAAATAAAAGTGCCCATCTTCGAAGATGATTATTCATCCAGGTCCAGTCCAGCGAATCGAAACATGACTGAAAAGACATCGCTTGCATCAATATTGTCAAAATTTTGATCAGGATTTTCCAATTTCATCTTCTCTAAATGATACTCTGCAAGAGCTTGCTTTCTCAAAATTTCTGTCTCAATCAAGCCACCTACATCTTGCCTTCGTTTAGCATTCTCACTCAACTTGGTAACAAACTCAATCTTGGCATTTTTAACATTGCTTAATAGCTCTAAAGAAAGTGGCCCAGAGTTTTTGATACGTTGCTCTTCGACCAAACCTTCAAATAAGAGTTCCAACATCTCCATGCCTGTTAAGAGTTGAGACAGAGTTTCTTTGTTTGTTCGAAATTTTTCCAAAATCTTTTTCACATCCAAAGGAGTATTCTCGGAAGAAATGGATGTGTTATATACTGGATATTCCTCTTTTTCTGGCTCCAACGATGCAACATTGGAGTTTTCATTTTGTAAAAGCAGCGAGGGTTGTATCATTTCACTGTGTGAAATGTCGCTAGTCAATGAGAGAATATTCGAAGCAACCATTTCACTATTTGTTTGTTGTTGCAAATAAGTCAAAGCTTCAATGGCTTTGATTAATTGTGAGTTTTCTTTTTGGATCAGTCTATATTTGTTCGAAAGTAATTTCAATGCACGCAAATCATCATTCATATTGTCACACGAGGAAAGATGTGAAAAATACTCAACTCTCAGTGAACATGCCATAATCAAAGCCTTTGTGGCACAACAAGGTAAAAAGCTAAACAATTCATGTTTCGTCAGTTCAATCACTTCTCTGGAAACTCTCAAAATGGCTTTCACATTTTTCTTTTCACAATTCGTTAAAATTTCCAAATGAACTTGCTTTGCAACCAGAGAAGAGAATAAAAATATTAACGAGTTCTTTTTACGAGCTGCCGTCATGATCAGATCTGTCATTGCAACAAATATCTCATGAATGGTCATTAATTGATGATACGTCTCATTTGAAAGACATCGACATGTTGTTGCATTCAATTTATATCTTTTCAGCTTGAACATGGATGCCATCTCAAATTCATCAAAGATAAATGTTTCTGGATTCAATTCCTCAATAAAATACAACTCATGAAATTTTGTTTGAGATTCTAAGAGGAAAGCAGAAAGATATTGACTGTTAATATTTGGTAATGTCATTGTGCTTCTATGACCGTTCGTGGACGAGAATGAATTGCAGCAGAGACGATAACATTCTTTGATATATGGTTCCAACTTGGCTCTCACAGTCATGTACATGGCTCGAGATTTCGTTTTCTCTCCATTTCCTAACATGTAATCAGCCATAAAATTCATGGCAACCAATACACTTATTGAATCCACTTCATCAAAATATTTTCCAATGATTTGTTTTCCATTCATAAATAATTGATCTGAAACTTCTCGAAGAATTCCCATTTGTTGCAAACACACTGCTTGCATTGTTTGTAAAACAGCAACCTCTTTTTCCAACTCACAGGACACTTGATATGGTTGTGTTTGAAACCACAATTGCTCATTGAGCTGGAAATCCAATGCTTTCTCTAATTTGCTTCGATCATACACTGGATATCCCAATGCAGTAATATGGTAATAAACGTCCAACGCCTGGGTTGCTGAAAATCTATAATTCATTTGATGTTGTAATAGCATTTCATTAGAAGAGATGACTGCTGTTATTGATTCTGTACAACTCGTTCCATCGTGGTTAGTTGCTGGTGTCTTATTTACATGATTATTGGAATTTCTTTGTTTGTTAGAAGTTAAGTGCGGTTGTAGATAGGGGTGATAGCCTCGATGATGAATTACAGTTGAATTTCCTTGTTTTGATGAAATGATCTTTTGAGAATATTCATCATTAATAAACACAATTTCATCAATAGCAGATGCAGATTGATTGGAATTTGGAGCCTTTCTTCTTCCCGATGATGATGGCTCATAAATACATTTATATCCTCTTTTGATACAATATTGACATGATGGTAATGTTTTTGAACATTTCCGATGTAATTGTCTGCAAGACAAACAACTATGAGGACTCAACGTTGATTGTGTTGCAACGGAAGAAGACGCAACACCAGAGTGAGACATTTTTTGTGATAATAAATCAATATCATAAATTCAGTAATAATTTGGAAATCCAGTTGAAACTGTCAGTTGTTTCATGCAATCTTGCTCATGGTTTTCACATCAAATAATAAATACCAAGGAACTTTATAACCCCATGTTCAATCACAAAAAAATGAACCGATTTCTTCCTTTATCACGCCCGACTCAATCCGCTTCACACAAGAATGAGAAGGAAGCGTTTTGTCAAAAGTGTTTCACTAGTGGGCATTGGACCTATCAGTGCACTGAGAAAAATTCATCAACTCAATATATTAAAAGGCCATCCTATACGCAACGATTGGAAATGATGAGAAAAGGAATTCCTTTTCATGATGATGACAACTTTTTGGATTCGGAATTAAAACCTAAAGTCATTGAAGACGAGGATGCCATATGGACCAATAGTGATAGTGATAGTTATTTAAATCCAAATGGATCAGGCGGTGATTCATCTTCTAGTAGCAGCAGCAGCACGAGTAGTTATAGCAGCGGAAGTGATGCAGCCAAAAAGAAGAAGAAGAAGAGGAAAATTACAAAAAAGAGAAAGAGAAGAGCATCGACAAGTAGCAGCAGCAGTGGTAGCTCATCGGAGTCATCTTCTGAAGAGGAGGAGCCATCAAAAGAACACAAAGTAGAAAATGAAGCCTTACTTGAATACAGAAAGAGATTAAAACAAGAATTAGAACGACAATTGCAACAACATAAGGAAGAAGAGGAATCTGCATCGAAACAATCAACAGCTCAATCTTCTGAAACTAGCAAGCTGAATAAGAATGAAGAATCATCATCAACATCTGGAAGACGTCTCGGATCGTCAACATCCGATTCCTCAAGATTGCAAGGTACCACTGTATCTGCATCTACACTAGGCGCATCCACTGCGAAACGAGGAATTGAGATGGCAGCTGAACGAATGGCTCAAGAACAACGACTTTCTTCACAAAATCGACGTTTTGGAAATAATGACAGAAGGTCCTACGATAAACAGGGATCCACAGATCGATCTGTGAATGAGGATCGTGCAGAATCATCTCAAAGATCAGCTCCACCTCCAAGAACCTATCAGTCCAACAGATACGGAAGAGTCAAAGATGATACCAAATAGTACAGTAGTGAAACGTGACAACAGGAAGATATTTGTTAAAGGTCTCATAAGAAAGATATAATACCTCCTCAACTCGTCTCACAATCAATTTTGGATTTCAGTGTGTGGAAATTGTCAGACTAGCAAAAACAACCAAATCTAGACATTTCAAGTTTGTAAATTTTCCACATTTGGATATTAGTTTTTTTGGGCTAAATTACAAAGTCTCTGGTCTGATCTCGAGGTGGTATTTTCAGTGCACTAAAACAAAAACAATCATAATAACCTTTCAATAATTTCATTACGGAAAATACAACAACTCACACCAAATAGACCAACTCGAACACCTTGTCAATCTCGCTCAACATGTCCATTCTTCTCAAAACACTTTCAAAACCTCGTACAAATTCCTTCTCAAAACTCGTACTCCCTTCTTTACAACAAGTAGTTATTCAAAAGGAGAATACTAGACACTTTTCACAAAACCTTTCTACATTTTATGCTCTCGATTCTGACAATTACAGCGATGTGAATGCATCTCTCGGAGGAGGAGGTTATTTTGGGGCACAACGTCAACAAGGATACGATGGAAGAGAGCATACCTTTGAAGAACAGTATGCAGCCAAGAAGGATTTTGAACTTTTATTGAAAATGGCTTCTGACTTTAACAAAAAACATCCCTCATTGAGATATAAGGATATTTTCGAAAAAATGAAGGTGAGTAGTGACGTTTAAGGACAATTCTAAATGGATTCTCACTGAAAAGAATTATTGTGAACATTGAATGTTGTTGATTATTAACAATAATAAGGAAAAACATGAGGCAGGAGAAGTAGCCGATCTGACACACATCATTCATGACTTGACCATGATGAAACCTGATGCGAATGATGACACTTTGGGAGATACTCATGTCGCCAATGTAGATGTTCAAGCAAAAGGTGTTTCTCAATTCACTGACAAACCATTGGGAGGAGTGTTCGCAGGAAAGTCACCCAAAGTACCTGAAGAGAAAAATCCCAAGGGTGTAATTGTTCCAGCGAAGGAAGAACGTAAGGCCAGTGATGAGAATTACCCTTACGTGGCCGACTTGACTTATGAACTTTAGGAAACATTTCAAAATGATCACAACAATAATGTAAAATTATAATGTAAATCATTGTTGCATTGGTACAATAAATTAATGACTGAACATGAATTAATCCGGTTTTCTGGTGGTTGCAGACTCTCTTATCATTCAATCTTTTCATTAACAAGAATTTCTCCACACAAAGATGTTTACGCTTATTTTCTGTGAAGTTGTCACAGATCAAAACTTCTCTTCACAACACCTAATGAATACTATTTTGTAAATATAACGGATTCACCTCTCCTTGCATGATGAGAGACAATAGCGTTTCTTCCGTAGTGTAGGTGTGTTTTTTACGAAGTGTTTCCATGTCACTCTCTGGAGTAATGTATAAAAATTCATAAATCGTATGATTACTGATATAACCATTAACACAATGAGGACATGTATCTGCCTTATTCTTGGAAGGTTCTGGAGGCATGCAAACCACTGGAACTTCTTTTCTTCGATTGACCTTCTCAGTTGTGACCACCCGATACATGGTCAATAATTTCAGTGCTCGATTGTCGGTTTTTCCGTAAATGACCATTCGCTGCTTACAGTGAGGACAAAGTATGGGTACACGTTTGACTCCTAAAATGCATTTAAAAGCTCGAAATTGCGTTTTTAAATCAATATTCATGGATCTCAATCTTTCCAACAAGTCAATCGGTGATGAAGCGTGTCCTGTACTAATTACTTGAACACCACTGAGAGCAATGGAGGTGGCTGTTTCGAAATCTACTTTGTGTCTCAACTCACCAAAATAAATTATATCTGGATCATGTTTGAGTAGGTTGTTGGCTGTCTCGGCCAAGGATCGTTGCTTTCCCTGAATTTCTTGAAACATGTCAATTTGACATACATTAAACAATCCATGAGTCTGTAAATTCACTTCAACAGGATATTCTAAAGAATAAATAGCAAGTGCTTTTTCTGCAGACATTTGACAAAGAATTCCTCTCACAATTGTGGATTTTCCTGTTTAGATGGTTTAAGATCCAATTCAATATTAGCAGAATAGATTATTGGTCCAATAATAGAAGTATGATATCAATATTTTCCAAAATAACAATTATTCGTGCACAGCACACATACCTGATCCAGTGGGGCCCACAATGCATACATGTCCTCCTTGACCTTTTTTACTTCCAAATACCTTGCTAATATCTGGAGGATCTCCTTTTGGTTGTTCCACTAACTCACTTCTGGGTACGAGTGGTTTTGTACTTGTGTAAACTCTTTCATTTTCTCTCGAAAATAGGGTTGCTTTGACGTCTGTGTCTGGAAAGCCAATTTTCCACTTATTTTGCTTCCGATTCAAATCTTCTGCATTGGAATGACTCATCGTTTGATAGGACGATTGAAAGGATTTTGAAAAGCTCTCCGATGATTGTCTATTTTGAGGATTTTTCATGGCATGAAAGAGAGCCTTCACTGGCAAAATTATGTTTTCATCTGATTCATCGTGGAGCGTTTGAGATGGATTAAGATTTTGAAAAGATGATGAACGATGACCCTTCAAATCGGAACTACCATGATCATTATTGGTAAAATCACTAGAATGACCGTTTGGTTTCAATTCATGACTAACTTGTTGGTTCGGGCGTAAATTTGATGATGAAAATTGTTTGTTGCTATTTTGATGATGATCATCATCGGAATGAGTATTGACGCTCGTTAAAGAATCTTGAACTTTAAACACATTCGGTATTAAATGTCTCAATATTGTTGAAACTCTGGATCGTTTCATATCTTCATTCCAACTCCCTCGCGTTTCTGTTGTATCCGTTTCTTTTTGGCTTTCATGACTCCCAGCCAATCGTTTCATCATTTTTTCATTTTAAATAATAAATTTAAATAATTTTCATTCTCAACAACACCTATTCTCTTCCATTTCACCGTCCACCCAATAACGATTCATGAAAGATGTTGTTCAAAACAAACGAAAAACTTTCACAACGTCCAAAAAAAACAAGAGTTCAACATTTTATTGAAACAAAAAAATTCAAAAAAAATGGGTCGAAACAAACAAACCAAGAGTGATAAAAAGTACAAGAAGAATAAAAAGTTGGTGAAGGCCAAGATCAAAACTCAACGTATGACACAAGAGAAGAAAGTACGAGAGGTGATTAGGAATGAAAAATTGAAAAATGAGGATCTTTCCGATTCCGAAAAGGAGGAAGAACAATTGGAACAACATTACTTGAAGGCTGTGAACAAGAAGAAGCCTTCTTCCACCTCCGTATCAAAACAATCATCGGAAAACAAAACTTCTAGTAGTGGGTACGTACAACTATCGTAGAAATTATTTGTTGTTAATTCCATCATCATCAATATCATTAAATACTTGACATTATGTTCCAACAACTTTTTGACCCTTATAGAACCATCTCAAAAGAAGAAATTGCAGACTTTTTTGAAAAGTTAAAGGCTGAAGGAGGTAAAACCACAAAAGAAGAGGAAGAAGAAATCCAACAATTAATTTCCGGAGTGGATGAAGATGATGAGGAGGAAGTCTATGATGGTGGAGAACGAGAAGAGGGCGACTCGGAGGATCACGATGAAAATATTCCTGCTGACCAAGAAGACGATGAACAAGATGAAGCCTATTTCCAAAGAATTGCCGATGAAATTGAAGAGGAGAATGAAAAACAAGTAAAAGAATTTGGTTCCCGAATCAAAGTTACAAAGGCTCTCATTGCACGATGGGTGAAGAAGATTAAGTCTAGCAATGCAGTGCAACCATTGTTCCATTTGGTGTTATGCTTCCGATCGGGATTGAAGAAGGAAGCGTCATCAGATGAAAAGAAAAAGAAGAAAGATGAACCTGAAATTCCATATGTGGTTCCTGATGCAGCCACATTTGCAAGAGTAGCCATGGCTTGTGTCAAATGCTTGGGAGATTTGGCCACAATATTAACCAAATATGAACAAGGATCGTAAGTAGTTAAATGACATTTTTCGTTTGACAAATTTTATCAATTCACCATTGACCATGTATTATGGCACAATAGAAACAAGATGCCTGCAAAATACTCTGGTTGGAAACAAGTGAAATTAGCTCTCTCGACATTTATTAATGCATTTTACACATTAATGGAAAGTAGTGTGGACGAAAAACTCTTGATTTATATTTTGCATTATTTCACAAGACTTGTCCCATTTTATGGGCTATTTGAGGCACATCCAAAGAAGATTTTACGAATCATGCTCAATTTATTAGGTCACACTAATGAGGACGTGAGAGTGAGAGCCTTCTTAATTATCAACTCAATGGCTGTCATTTATCCATATCCATTCCTTGAATTGTGTATTAAGGGAGTTTATTATACACTCTTGAGAAATTCAAAAGGATACAACCCATCGACATTCCAACAAATTGAATTTTTAAAGAATTGTCTCGTCGAGTTGGCCTCTATCAACTTTAACAGTACCTTCCAACATGCTTTTATTTATATTCGAGAACTTTCCATCACAGTGAGAAGAGCCATGGATACAACGGTACAAAATGGTTATGCCTTGTGCTACAATTGGAAATTCTTCCATTGCTTGGATGCATGGGCAAAAGTTGTTTGTGCCTACTTTAAACAAGAAAAGATTGGCGAATTGCTGTATCCAATCACTCAAATTGCCATGGCTGGTCTTGGTTTGAGCAATTCGGCCAAGCATTATCCATTCAAGATCAAACTATTGACCATGCTGAACACCTTGTCTCGAGAGTGTGACCGAACCTTTATTCCAATTTCACAATTTATTTTTGAAATTCTCCAATTGAAACAAGCCACAGAGACGCCCAAACAAAATCAAAAACCACAACCTTTGTATTTTGAGTTCAAACTGAAAGCAATGCCTGAGGAACTCAAATCTAGGGAATTCCACCAAAGAATCATTGATGATTGTTGCTTTTTGCTTTTGGATCTTTTGGCTACACATAGCAAATCTGTTGCCTTCCCAGAGCTTTCGTACCCAATTACCAGTTTTTTGAAAAAGTATGTCAAGAATCATAGTGAGACTCTGCATTTTGGTATTGCCAAGCAAATTACCAATCTTGTAAAGCACGTCAACGACAATATTATTTTTGTGAATGAAGCCAAATCTAAAATATCCTTCACGCCTCTCGAATTTGACAAGGCAAATCAATTTTTGCAAGACACAGAGACACCTCTCGAAAAATACTATGCTACTGAGAAGAAGAGACAAGACCGAGAATTATTAGAGAGAGTTGCAGCTAAATTGGATGAGAAGGTCCTCTTCGAAGATGGAGAGGATGAAGAAGAGTCAGCCCTCAGAGAAATTGAGGAGACCAAATTAAAGAGAAAGAGAGCCTCCACCACCGCCGCAGACGAAGATGAAACCACACAATCTGACGAAAAAGAAACCAAGAAGAAGAAAAAGTCGACCACTTCCAAGACCACATCGAAACAGGACACACTCAAAGAATTGGATTTGGAGAATTTTTAATGTGAGTAGGTCAATAATAAATTTATATATTTTCATACACAACTAATTTCTCAAAAGTGTTAATCCTTGAGCAATTCAAGAACATCGTCAACAAATTCCTTCTCTGGATTGTCTCGACATTTCTTGGCAAGTTTTAGAGCATCGGTGAAGGCTTTCACGACGTTTGTACCGTCTGCTGCTGAAACATAATACAACGGAAGTTCTCTTTTACTTGCAAAATTGAAGGTGGTTTTTGTCACATCCATATTTACTAAGGGATGATTGAAATGAATGCCACATATCAATTATTCATTATTCGAAACGTTAACCAGCAAAACTTACAATCAATCTTGTTGCATACCACAATGGCTGGAATTCCCTTTCTGTAGGTTTGCAATTCGTTGTACCACTTTTCCAAATTTTTGTATGTGATTTGTCGATCATCAAACACTAGAATGCAGGCGTGAGCTTGATGATAATAAGAGGGATGAACATTATTGAACCTCTCTTGACCAGCAGTGTCCTATTGTATATGTTTAAAAAAGTAACGGGTGGGTTGTAGTTTCATGTTGAGCAGAATAACCTACCCAAAATTCAATATCACAGTCCTCACCATCAATTTTTGATTTATAAGTAAATATATTCAAAGCAAATGTTGATTGTTGTTGTTCTCGGTATCCATCAATTAAAAAGCGTTCAACCAGCTAGCATTCGAATTTATCGTAATAAAATTCCGAAGCAGATCGTTCCATATATTTGATAGTAGGAATGAACATACTTTTGACTTTCCGACTGCAGAATCACCCAACAAAATGACTTTAATGACTTTGGAAGAAGACATTTTTTGTTTTGTAATTCGTTGTTGTATTGGATTTGGAGGGAAACCAAAAATAAAAGAGGCTCTCCTTTTGCTATCCACATCAAAATAAACGCCACTTGGAACAAACATTAGCGATTCATGTAACCTTGAAAACAAAATGATGAAGAGATGGATTTGAACCATCGACCTCGCGTTTGAACAACACACACTCTCCCACGCTGAGCTATCTCCATCAAAAAAATGTCTAAAACTAATTCTTTTACCCTCATTTCACCGTGCTCATAGGTCTCCTATGGTTATAACATTTTTCGGATCTTTCACACACCACTCACATGTTTTCGTAATTGTAGTTTTTGGATTGTTTCAGAGTTGCTGAAAGTCGAGTCGAAGTTGAAATAAATTCTCTCAAGGGACATTGAATCGAGTGAGAATAATTGGACATGCCACAACATTGGCAAATAGCATGGTCCAACAAGAAGGGATTCATTGGTTTGCATGAGTGACTATGTGGTGTCCAAGTACTTGAGTGGCGACCACTCGAGTTCTAACAACATTTCACTTTTCACAACGGGAACCACAAGAATGGAGGGTGGTGTCGTCTGGGTCAACGAAAATCGTCAAAAAATGTGTCCACGTTTACGCCTTGTCCAATATTTGTGTTTTTTAAATCTTCTCGTTGTGTGTGTATTCCTTGCACCGGTGGTCACATGTGCCTACAGTATCACCACTATAGTAGGAACAGGAGCTCAGGGTTCAGGAGGCGATTCTGGAAACGCTTTATCTGCTCAACTGTATTGGCCAAAGGGAGTATATGAATACAATAATGAAATTTATATTGCAGATACTTATAACCATAAAATTAGAAAGGTTTCACAGACAGGTATCATTACAACCATTGCAGGAACAGGTAATCAAGGATATTCAGGAGATTTGGGACTTGCCATAAATGCTCAACTTTCACTTCCAACCTATGTGTACGTGGATTCCACAGGCGTATATGTTGCTGATGCTGGAAATAATTGTATTCGACGAATTCAGAATGATAGAATTGAAACCGTCTTTTCCACTGGACTTCAAAATCCTTTGTTCGTTAGTTTCAATTCGAATCGCGACATGTACATTGTTGACGCGGATAACAATGTCTTGAAAAAAGTTTCCAACGGTGTTGTGTCCAACGTGGTAGGTTCAGGAACGAGAGGTTTCGGTGGGGATGGCAGCTCTGCAACCTCTGCCTTGTTAGACCGACCAGCAGGTGCCTACATGTCCTCATCCTCGAATGAAATTTATATTAGTGACACTTACAATAATAGAATTAGAAAAGTTTCATCTTCAGGTTTCATTTCCACTCTTGCAGGATCCACTCAAGGATTCAGTGGAGATGGTAACTTGGCAAGAGATGCTCGATTGGATCATCCTTCGAGATTGCTGGTCAACTCGAAAGGCGTGTTGTTTTTTGCAGACACCAATAACCATGTCATTCGAAAAATATCCGGTGATATCATTACAACCATTGCAGGAATTGGTGGATCCAATGGATTTAATGGTGACTCGGCCAATGCTCGAAATGCTCAATTATTTTACCCTCATGACATTATGTCAAGATGGAAGTTTTTACATTGCGGATTCTTTAAATAATAGAATTAGAATGTTACGTCCCCTCTGTAATGGAGTGGTTTCGAATGATCCATCCGTGTGCTCTGGTCGTGGCCAATGTCTCGATGAGGACACCTGTACCTGCACACAACCTTCCTTGTACGGTGGTCCATATTGTGAACTTCCCAAATGCAACAACAAGCTCTCGAACGAGACTGGAGTCTGTAATGCCAGAGGAACTTGCTCATCACCCAATACGTGTACTTGTACTGAACCTGCCAAATTTGGAGGAAACGACTGTGAATTTCCCAAGTGTTTTGGAATTCTTCAAACGATGGCATCTACGGTGTGTAGTGGTCATGGTTCTTGCGACTCTCCAGACGTGTGTCGATGTAATGCCAAATGGACAGGTCCAGCATGTGACATGCCTATCTGTTTTGGAATGAATCAAAATGAAACGAGTAGGGTTTGTAGTGGGCGTGGAACTTGTAACGGTCCTGACCTTTGTGTCTGCAATTCAGGATTTACAGGTCAATCGTGTGAAAAGTCAATTCCTGTTCTCTTGGTCAACAAGATGTTCATTTCTCAAGGACAAACCATTACAATCACTACCAACGAGTTGCAAGCGTCTGATCCTGTCGCCAATGACTCTCAACTTCAGTTCATTGTTAGTAACATGCTTTACGGCAGATTTGAATTGAGTTCTGTGAGTGTCAATGTTTTTTCACAACAACAGGTGAAGGATGGTCAAGTGAAATTTGTGCACACTGGAACAAACAATCAACCACCTACTTTCCAAATAACAGTTTCCAACGGTGTAGTTCAAACTTCTCAACAATCTCCTTCCATTACTTTCAATGTTGGTCCATATGTGAATGACAAGATGCTCGATCAGACCGTGCAAGTTGATCAAGAATTCAAAATTCCAGTATCGAAAAATATGTTCATTGATCCAGATGGAGAAACTTTGACCTCTTATGCATCGTTGGAAACTGGACAACCACTTCCAAGTTGGATTAAATTTGATGAAAAGACATACTTTCTCAGTGGAAAGAGTTCAGAACCAAGTACGAACAAATTCAAATTCTACGTAGTGGATAGGGGAAATTTGAAAGCAGAATGTGTGTTTTCATTTAAGGTTGTGGCAAATTCAGGAAGTTCAGGAAATTCTGGAAACTCTGGAAATTCAGGTCTTGGAGTTGCTGATATTGTTGGAATTGCTGTCGGTATTTCTACACCAATTCTTACGATTATTGGACTTCTTGTTGGGGGAGGAGGTATTTGGCAATGTGTTAAACATTTTAAGAAACCAAAGTCTACTTTATCACCTGCAACGACTGAAATTTCACTTGAAGATACCTCAGCCACGGTGGCTCCAAAACCCGAAGTATGAAATCATCGTTTAAAATAAATAAGAAATAGAGCCATTGTTACTGGGAAAAAGGATATGAATCCATTCCAATGAATGTTGATGTGATAAAACGAAAATGAAGAGAAGGATTTGAACCATCGACCTCGCACAGAATCGTGCACGCTCTCCCGTGCTGAGCTATCTTCACCAAAAAGGTTGCGCCTTATTCTGTCAACGTAACAAACTCATCTGCATTTCCATAAATGAAACAGGAATGCTCATTTCTTGTTGGAGAGGAGGTGAAAAACAAATTTGTTTTTTTATTGGAAAAGAAAATGAAGTGACAAGCTGTCAAGGCATTTTGTTTCATCACTCCAGAGCACTCATTGACATTGAATTTCAAGCATTTTCACAAATATTACTGTTACTTCACCATGAAATCAGACAGAATTTCAAAATGAACATTGCAACTATTTTTAATGAACTCATACATTTGCTTCACATTGAACAAGCCTTTTCTTCACAACGCAATGCTAAAAATACAATGAACACAGCATATCCCCAAAATACTGGAAATTTATTTCTTTTTCATTTTCGTCACCAAGGTCTGAGATAAAACGTTGCGATCAACGCTTACCTCTTCGCCACCTCTCAATCTTTATCAAGTCACGAGTTTGGATCACTTGATAATCAACAACCCAACTTTCAGAAATGCTCAATATCGATCGTTTTGAATTGATAACGTACCTGTGATCACTTTGTCAACCAAGGCAAAAGTTTTCGATCCAAGAAACTTCCACCAAAATATGACAAGTTATTTTTAGATGCCTAAAGTTTCTCGAACAATTCATACCAGAGTAGTTTCGACGATTTCATAGTTTTCGAAATGCTGATTCCATTTTTTTATAGATGCAATGTTCATTTTGAAACCTTGTATGATTTCATCGTGAAATGACAGTATTGTTTATCACGATCTTAATTATTTATAATTTCTGTTCCAATTAATCCATAATTTGTGAATATGGCATTCTTCTTTTTTCGCGTCACTCTCTTCACTGCAAATACACAATCAGTATCGGTAGGTGCCAATTTGAGAGCTTGTGAAAAACTCTGCAATGCATCATCGTACAATTCGCTCATTTCAAATAACACTCCCAAATTATAATATCCATATGGAGAGCTAGGTTCCAATTCGATGGCTTTTGCAAAACATTCGCCAGCTTCTTGAACATGATCGGCATACATGTGACACAATCCAAGAGTGTTGTAGTAATTTTCTGTTGAATAATTTGCAAGAATATTTGGAAATTCTTGTACCAATTCATGATATCGTTGGAAATATCGAATCGCTTCATTGAAGAGAGTTTCTGATTTTTCTGAATCTTCACTTTCACTTGAATACTTGATAATGGCAAGTAAATAATAGGATTCTGCAAGATATTGATACAATCTTAATCGATCACTGGATGACTCTACTAGCGTGGATGCTCTCTCTATGATACATTTCAATTTAATTTTACAGTTAGCGGTCGATCCACATCGCAAATGCAATTTTGCCAATTCAAACAAGGCCCTGAAATTTTGTCGATTCAATGTACATGCCAAATCCAAACTCGACTTGGCTCTTTCTAAAACTCCCAATTTTAAGTGACACATTCCAACTCGTTCATAGGCACAATCAAAGGAAGGTTCCTTAATTTGTGATGATTTGTAATATTGAATTGCATTTTGGTAGTCACATTTCCTTTCATAGTAAAGTCCAATCGCATAATGAGTGAGTGCATGATTCGTGTCCAAGCTCGATAAATACGATTGTAAATTCACATCTTGCAAATTGGTTTGATCTCCAAGAATGGTGCATAAAAACATGGCACTTTTCAATTCACCTCGATCAGCCATATCATTCGAATTGGATTCCTTTTCGAGCGCTTGCAATGACTTTTCGAAATATTGATTCGCTCGTTCGTACTGTTCGTCACACACCAACGTATGACCATAATCACGTAAAAATGTTGACTTTTCAGACAATGACGAATCCAATACAAGAGCTTCATCAAAACATTTCAAAGCATCTCGAAAAAGTAAACCTTCTCGCAATGCACACGCCAAATACACATAAATTTGAGCCATTTTCGACTCACTTGAAAAGAATCGATTCAAAAAGTCTCGACACACACGTTCCAAATCTCCAAATTTTCGAGTCGATTTCAACTTTTCACATTCATTCAGTGTCGAATCGAAATCTTTTTCAGTGGCTTGAGTGGCAACTGTTCGTCCATTCGATCGGGCACGCATGGCACTTGGAATGACTTCTGAGAGAGAAGAATTGATCAAATTTGGAGACCCGACAGTAGGTGAAATGGAAGTAATTGTTGTTGTTGTAGGAGAGGTGTGGATCTGATTTTGACTGCTGACACTTGTTGGACTGTCCACAGAAATGATGATGGGAGATTTTGATTTGTTTTCAATAATACGTTTGATAATGTTACTGTGCGTATTGTTGCTTTCACTGCTGCTATTATTGTTGCCAGTTATTTCAATATTATTGTCAATAACAGTTGAAGTGAAGAGTGAGAGGTCTTTTGTTTTTTGTTGTTGTTGTTCGTAAAGGTTCTCATTCTCTTCGTTCATCTGTTGTTGGTCGGTAATACTTGTGCTGTTGTTGATGTTGGAAGCAAAATTATTTTGAGTGTGACACAAAGGATTCGTGCTACGGTCATTGTTCTGTGGGGTGTCAGTTGTCATTGAAGAGGTTGTGTTTTCATGACTATTGGAGGAAGCCACAGTTGAGTGGGAATGAGCTGAGGTGGCCTTTCTAACCATCACTACTTTCTTCCGAACAATGGTTTGAGGAGGTCTTGTCGATGGAAAATCATTGGGAAGATTGGGTGTGCTTGAAGAATCGGAAGACATTTTTGACAACTGGCAGGAGATGTGTTTTGATAGGATGAGGTGCTAATAATTGCAATCTCGAGATGAGAGAATGGGTATGTTTGCGTGGAAATAGTGAGGCAGCCGAGAGATTTTTGTTTTTTGTTTCTCTTCCTTTCCCAAGAGATCGCAAGCTAATGAACTTGCGACAAATGACAGGAGCAGCGTTGAGGTTAAGGAAGGTCTAGAATTAATTGAACGATGATTGGTTCGAATCCTCCCGATGTTGGAATGGTGAAATTGATTTTGAATAGATCAAGACAATTATGGGTTTCTTGTTTATCATCATGTTTCATACAACAAAAAGAGAGAGCAGTAAATTCATTCATATATGATTTACAGAAAGAATACAAAAAAGAATGGAGCAATTATTAGCCTATTTAGAATCATCCTCCTCCTCCTCTCAATTTAAGGAAAAGAATGAAATGAATGTTCATTCTACAACAACAACTGAAAGGAATGTTCATTATGAGAATAATGATAATGATGAATGGTCATTGGTGAATGATTCTTCTCCTCAATCAGAGAAAGAAGGTCCCACCACACTCTCCGACCAACATCTCGTTTCGTATTTACAAGAATTAAACAGCGTGCACAAGAAAAATCGAGCGCAAGATGAAAAGCCTTTATCGGAATGGAACGAATTGGACGTGATGATCTTTCTCGCCGTGCATGAGGTTCCGCAAACAGTGATTGAACAGTTTAAAGAATACAATGGAAAGAAAATCATGATGAAATTAATGGACAGTTCTGTAGATATGACGATGGAAACGGTAGAACATCATCATGATGATGAAACCAACGAAAATTTGAAATTAATTTTGGAATTAATTCGGAAACATGTTCAAAACATTCTTTAATCATCGTTTAACATCTTCCTAACAAGTTGATTTATTCCTTTAATTCCTGACAAGCTTTCACGATTTTCTTGATAGATTCCTCTCTCAGATCAGGATATTTACGAAATAGATTTCGTTGATGCGATTGAAAAATTGTTTTTGGCGATTCATTCTTTCGTTTTACTTCAATTTTCACAAAGATGGGATACTCATCAAGGCACACGGATTTAATAGATGCATCGGGAAACACTTGTTGGATGGCACTGATTGCTGTGGATTCTTCTTGAGTACCTCCATCACAATTCTCACAAAAAGTCACTGTGAATTCCATGGAATTGTGGTCTGATTGCATTTTGTTTGATGTTGCTGCTTCAACAAGGTTGAATTCAATGAAACCACCACCCACTCTTTGTGACCTCCAAATTGTAGGGATTACAAACATAGTTCGAACGACCCCATAACGGCATTATATTAAAAAAGCCGACAACAACACATGTTTTTGGTTCCATCTCAATCACAGACGAGAGCTCTCAATGAATTAATTTTCAGCTCCATCACACTAACAATCATGTACGATCATTATCGAGTTTTTCAATTTTCTTCTTCCTCAATCAAATGAAAACCTCAAAGAGGTGAACAACAACAACAGATTAAAAAAATATTTCCATACGAGTTGGACCTGTGCGATTCGTCATTCATCTTGTTAGATTATCATTTCAAAATTGGAGATCACCATCATTGCGATCTAATGATACTGTGAGAGCAAGCTTGAAAACTACTTTCCGATACCTTGCAAATATATTTCTTTTCTGATAAATTATACATTAACAGTCAATACATTGATTCCCGATGATGAAGAGTAAATTAATTGGTCTTTATTTGACGAATCATGGGAAAAACTTTCAAGAGTACAATCATAATTTGAGATATTTGCTCGATCATTTGAACGGTGCGTCCAATAACCTTACTTTGGTATCAGAACCATCATCATTGAGACCATTGAGTTCTGTACAATTGAAACTGCATATATTAAGCTATTCAATTTTAGAAATTTCACCCCGGACATGCCCGTCCCTCTATTGCATGAGCGGATCGGAAAAGAAGGCCAAATTGGATGAGTGTTCTCTTGCTGAAATTGAAAAATGCATTGTTAGACTTATTTACGGAAAGTTTGATTGTGAGAACAAGTTGAAAATTCGACAAATATTTCATCATTTTCGTATTTATTTAGAAACATCCAAACATGTTACTATCAAGTTTGACTCTTTGTTTGACGTCCATCTCGTGAGAATATTGTGGAGTAAGGCCAAGTCTATTCATTGCCAAAACGGAGGTTCTTCTGAGAATTTTTACTTTTCAATTCCTCAGAGAAATTACCAAGAAGTACTGAGCTGCACTGATAGTAATCACCACTCGAACAATGTTTCCGTAAATAATGTCGATCATGACAAGGACGAGCAAGAAACAGAGTTCGATAGAAAACACAAGAAACGAAAAATGCTATCCCAGCAGCACTCCAACGACGATCGCCACTCCTTAACGACTCTCCAACTTCTCAAAAATTGGTCCACTCAGTTGAAAACCTATTGCACACAATTAGAGGAATTGAAAGTGAAGCTAGATTATGATTTACTTAAATACATGATATGGAATCATGACAAATGTATTTGTCCATTGCTGAGAAATTGTGAAGCCATTATTCTTCCTGAACACTACGAGTCCATGACAACTAATGCATGCACACAAGAACTCGTCCATTCTGCAACAAGTTCCTCATCTCTTGGCCCTAATTGTCACTATAATTTTGTGACAAAATTGGAATGGATCGTGTCCCGTGAATCCACTCATCATTTCTGGGAAACGCTGAACATCATGGCGACAAATTTTCTACCACATTTTCCAAATCTAGAGTCTCTAACAATCAAGGGATTTCATGTAAATAGTTCCTCGACCTATACTACCTCTCCCTTAGGCCCGTTAATAGAATATTATTCGAAACATTCATCCACTTGTCTAAAAAGCTTGAGTATGGACATTTGTTTTTCATTTAACTCGAAAACATGCGACGTGTTTTGGAAAGGCTTATGGAACGACATTTCGCAACTATCTTCCTTGGAGAAGTTAGAAATGAATGTTGGTGTACTCTCATGCGACAGTAGTGATATTTTACTTGTTGTAGAAGAGGCCTTTTCATTGCATGATGAGACAAATTATATTGCTCTCAATGGAATCAACAAGGATGAAAAAACTCACCACACACCATCACCACAGGTGAAAATACCCAATTTAAAAAGCATCTCAATGAGCATCAAAAAAGATGGACAAATAATTATTGACCAATCCATGCTATTAACGTTGCTCAAATACAGAGTTAAAGACTTACAAGAAATTGACATTGATTTTCGAGTGAACAATGAAACTCAATTCTCTCAATGTTTTGAATATTGGAATTGCTTTGATACATCATTGGCTTGGTACAATATTAGAAAGCTTAAATTTTCGAATGTGAAACTGGATTCAGAAAAGTGTGACGTGCTGGGTCGGTGTCATACACTGAGGTGGCTCATTTTGAATCATGTCGAGTTTGATTCACATGATAACGACGACGAAAAGCGCTATGTTATTGAATGTCTTGCACAATCACGATCCATTACTCATTTAGAGCTTCCATATTGCAATCTTGAAGATTATCATTTGGAACCAATATTTTTGAATATGAATCAGCTTGAATTACTGAATTTGAAACATAACAATGTTGGACCTTTATTATTGCTAGCTCATTTAACCAAAGTAGAAATTGGCAACCCCACTTCAACTGTACGGAATAATTTGATACATTTGTATGCTTTGAATTTGGAAGGAAATTCAATGATTACTGAAGAACATATCAACAAACTTCTGGAACACAACGAAACATTGACTTATTTAACTCCTCAAAGCAAGGATTCGTTACCTTTACCTACTTTTACATGGCAGTAAATTTTCAAAGTTACTGAACTCACTAATGAATGACTTCTTCTTCATCATTGCTTGTAGTTGCTAGTGAAGGAGATGCATTTGTCTCATCACTAGGAATGAGAGGTTCATACCAGTCCTTTGTGAATCCTGCTTTCAATCTCAACTCATGATTGAACGGTGGACGCAACACTCCTGTGGCTGTATGGTTTCGCACCAAATGATGAAATCGTTGTCGAATTAAATTCTCGTCCACTTCCTCCTCTTGTGTGCTATCTTGTTGTTGCATTTCTTCTCTGTTCTTTCTTCGTTCCTCTCGAATGGCATGGGCACAACAAAACTTGAACCATTTCACTCCTTTCTGCACATGACTCACTTCTTCTTCCAATATTACATTCAACAAGTCAGCACTTTCAAAATCTTTGGCTTCTCTCAATCTTCGAATATTGTTTGGGGTCATGTCCAAGCCACGTGCCTCATGAACTGTGTGTAAAATACATAAACGTAACATGACATCATTTTCAGTGGCAGTAGCGGCTGCCCATAATCCTCCATGTGCTGGGAACTGACCATAAAAACTTGCTAATTCTGTCAATCGTTTGCTTAACATTTTGAAATGTCGACATTCATCCAATGCAACATAAAACCAATCAATGAGAAATTCGTCAGGTAAATAATCGAGAATTGCGAATCGACATAAAATGTCCCAACTCAAATCAATAGCGTAAGATTCCATATGACAAATGGAACTACATTAGATCAAGTGTATAATTTAAAAGAGATTTAAAATGATTATTTGAGAGGCGTGATCAAATAGTTCAATTTTCAAGATCCCATTCATTTAAAATTATCATTATATTCCATATTGTGTCATATCAACGTGTCGTTCACAATCAACAAATTGATGTAAAAGAAATTAATATTAATAAATTGTTCATTAATTTGATAAATCATTTCCTGTTCAACACAAATTCTCCAACTTACTGAATCAAAGCTGCTCTATTTTCCACAGTTCCTGCTCCTCTTTTATGTAATTGTTTCGGATGAACAATGGTGATATTATCGGGACGAGCCGGAACACTCGGAGGTCTCACTTTTACCATTTCATTGGGATCCAAAGGCCTCACACGTATTTTTCCATCTTCATAAAGTTGTTGAGCGAGAAATGAGAGATTAACTTTTTCATCT